GTCGGAAAGGTCTGAGTCTCAAGGTTCCAAATTTTGTGACAAAATTGATATTTGGACATAAATGTTTTAATTTGTTAAGGCAGAATGTACACAACTAAATTCAATGGAATTCAATGGCACCCGGTGGCTATTTTTGGTACTACGCCTAAACAAAATCTCATGGGAACTTCAATTTTTGTGATATCAACTTCAAATTTGGAACATAACTTGGTTAGATTTATGGCTTTGATTTTATAGTAATTTTAGAGTAAAAATATTTTGTAAAATATATATTTTATATAAAATAAAAAATATATAGTACAGTATATTTGATTTACTGTGAATTAAAACTTCCATAACTTTTTCATACTTTTATTTTTTTAAAGTGTTTTCACTTCAGCAATATTCTGCTGAGTGTTTTCTTTAAAACAAGACCAAACTTGGGTATATATTCCAAAGCATTCTTGAATTACAACCATTTAAGTGTGAATAGTGCATTTAACCCCCATTCTCAAAAAGGGGCGGTGACAGTTAAGGGGTTAAATGTTTTTGGCAAAACACCTCTACATAAAACACAAAAATCTAGCAGGAATTTAATTGCTTTCCTTTTCCAAAAACAACCAATCAAAACACTTATTCAACAGGTCACACACACACTCCTCAAACACTAATTGCTTTACTGATCACTAACCAATCACTGCTTTACTGTAGTATAAGCCTATAATAGTTCAAAGGTCAGATTACCAAAAAACAATGTTTACATGGTGTATGAAAAAATGCACTATTATTAAATAAGTGTTTGCCATTTGATGCAAATGCTTCATTCTGACATGTGTTCATGGCATTTTGAATGCAGTGTTACATTTTTGAAGGAGATGTGAGGCATTTTGCATTTTGTGTGTGAAGTGTGTAAAGGTGGAAGCAGTTGGAAAAAACTGTAATGGTAAGGTACTTTACAATCATAATTGATTGGCAAGCAGCTGCATTTACTTCTGTTTATTGTGCTATTGATTGCCATTGGTTAATGTTTTCAATAAAAAGCAACCTATCTACAATGAACAGAGAGAGAGAGAGAGTTAGATACTGAATATGGTGGGGAAGCAACGTAAAAAAAGGGCACCAAGCTTCTCGTCAGGGGAACTTGAAGCTAATTACCACCATATTAGTTCTGATACCAAATAAAGTCAACTTCATAAATAGGCCTGTATCAATTGCGAACATATTTTATTATTAGTCTTAAAATGTCCATAACATAAAATCATCGTTGAGCCACAACATTGTCAACATACCATGTCAACATACCATACTTACAGAAGATATACTTAGCGTACGAACGTTTCGAGAACCGTGCCATAAGGTTAAGAGAGAGGTTAAGGAATAGGTTAAGAACTACTTAGAGATAAGAACTTTTTGGGGAAGCGGGGCCTGATCTTTCCCTAGGTTATATTTTTCTATCAACTCTGAAAAGTGTTTGAATTTATTATCTAGGAACACATTATGCAATTGTGACACATTATACCATACCATACCATCTTCTTCCGCTCATCCGGGGCCGGGTCGCGGGGGCAGCAGGCTAAGCAGAGATGCCCAGACTTCCCTCTCCCTAGACACTTCCTCCAGCTCTTCTGGGGGGATACCGAGGCGTTCCCAGGCCAGCCGGGAGACATAGTCTCTCCAGCGTGTCCTAGGTCTTCCCCGGGGTCTCCTCGCAGTGGGACGTGCCCGGAACACCTCCCCAGGAAGGCGTCCAGGAGGCATCCGGAACAGATGCCGAGCCACCTCAGCTGACCCCTCTCGATGTGGAGGAGCAACGGCTCTACTCTGAGCTCCTCCCGAGTGACCGAGCTTCTCACCCTATCTCTAAGGGATCGCCCAGCAACCCTGCGGAGAAAGCTCATTTCAGCCGCCTGTATCCGGGATCTTGTCCTTTCGGTCATGACCATAGGTGAGAGTAGGAACGTAGATTGACTGGTAAATCGAGAGCTTTGCCTTGCGGCTCAGCTCCTTCTTTACCACAACAGACTGGTACATCGACCGCATTACTGCTGAAGCTGCACCGATCCGTCTGTCAATCTCCCGTTCCATCCTTCCCTCACTCGTGAACAAAACCCCAAGATACTTAAACTCCTCCACTTGAGGAAGGATCTCTCCACCTACCTGAAGTGGGCAAGCCACCCTTTTTACGGCTGAGGACCATGGCCTCGGATTTGGAGGTGCTGATTTTCATCCCAGCCGCTTCACACTCGGCTGCAAACCATTCCAGTGCATGCTGAAGGTCCTGGTATGAAGGGGCCAACACGACAACATCATCCGCAAAGAGCAGAGACGAAATCGTGTAGTCCCCAAACCTGACACCCTCCGGCCCCTGGCTGCGCCTAGAAATTCTGTCCATAAAAATTATGAACAGAACCGGCGACAAAGGGCAGCCCTGCCGGAGTCCAACATGCACCGGGAAGAAGTCTGACTTACTACCGGCAATGCGAACCAAGCTCATGCTTCGGTCATACAGGGACCGGACAGCCCTTAGCAAAGGACCCCGGACCCCATATTCCCGGAGCACCCTCCACAGGCCGCCTCAGGGGACACAGTTGAATGCCTTCTCCAAATCCACAAAACACATGTGGACTGGTTGGGCAAACTCCCATGAACCCTCCAGCACCCTGTAGAGAGTATAGAGCTGGTCCAGTGTTCCACGGCCCGGACGAAAACCACACTGTTCCTCCTGAATCCGAGGTTCCACTATCAGCCGTATTCTCCTCTCCAGTACCCTGGCATAGACTTTCCCAGGGAGGCTGAGAAGTGTGATCCCCCTATAGTTGGAACACACACCCTCCGGTCCCCCTTCTTAAAAAGAGGAACCACCACCCCGGTCTGCCATCCCAGAGGCACTGTCCCCGACCGCCACGCGATGCTGCAGAGGCGTGTCAACCAAGACAGCCCCACAACATCCAGAGACTTGAGGTATTCGGGGCGGATCTCATCCACCCCCGGTGCCTTGCCACAGAGGAGTTTCTTGACTACCTCGGTGACCTCAGCTAGGGTGATATACGAGTCCACCTCCGAACCCTCAGCCTCTGCTTCCTCAATGGAAGACGTGACGGCGGGATTGAGGAGGTCCTCGAAGTATTCCTTCCACCGCCCGACGACATCCCCAGTCGAGGTCAACAGCCGCCCACCCCTACTGTAAACAGCATTGGTAGGGGACCGTTTCCCCCTCCTGAGGCGCCGGACAGTTTGCCAGAATCTCTTCGAGGCCAGCTGATAGTCCTTCTCCATGGCCTCACCGAACTCTTCCCAGGCCTGAGTTTTTGCCTCCACAACCACTCGGGCCGCAGTCCGCTTGGCCTGCCGGTACCTGTCAGCTGCCTCCGGAGTCCCACGAGCCAACCAGGCCCGATAGGACTCCTTCTTCAGCTTGACGGCATCCTTTACTTCCGGTGTCCACCACCGGGTTCGAGGATTGCCGCCTCGACAGGCACCAGAGACCTTACGGCCACAGCTCCGAGCAGCCGCTTCGACAATGGAGGTGGAGAACATGGTCCACTCAGACTCAATATCTCCAGCCTCCCTCGGGATCTGGTCGTAGCTCTGCCGGAGGTGAGAGTTGAAGATCTTTCTGACAGGAGATTCGGCCAAACGTTCCCAGCAAACCCTTACAGTACGCTTGGGTCTGCCGAGTCTGTCCAGCCTCCTCCCCCGCCATTGGATCCAACTCACCACCAGGTGGTGATCAGTTGACAGCTCCGCCCCTCTCTTCGCCCGAGTGTCCAAGACATACGGCCGCAGGTCAGATGAAACGACCACAAAGTCTATCATCGACCTACGACCTAAGGTGTCCTGGTGCCACGTGCACTGGTGGACACCCTTATGCTTGAACATGGTGTTCGTTATGGACAAACTGTAACTAGCACAGAAGTCCAATAACTGAACACCACTCGGGTTCAGGTCGGGGGGCCGTTCCTCCCAATCACACCCCTCCAGGTGTCACTGTCGTTACCCACGTGAGCGTTGAAGTCCCCCAGTAGAACGACGGAGTCCCCAGTCGGGGCACTTTCCAGCCCTCCTCCCAGAGACTCCAAGAAGGCCGGGTACTCTGCACTGCCGTTTGGCCCGTAGGCACACACGACAGTGAGAGACCTATCCCCGACCCGTAGGCGCAGGGAAATGACCCTCTCTGCAACTCCAGAGTGGTGAATAGTCCATCCTCTCTCAAGGAGTGTGGTTCCAGAGCCCAAGCCATGCGTAGAGGTGGTCCCGACTATCTCTAGTCGGAACCTCTCAACCTCACGCACAATCTCAGGCTCCTTCCCCGGCAGCGAGGTGACGTTCCACGTCCCTAAGGCTAGATTCCGTGTCCAGGGATCGGGTGGCCGAGGCCCCTGCCTTCGACTGCCGCCCGATCTTCTCTGCACCGGCCCCTTACGGCTCCTCCTGCAGGTGGTGAGCCCACGGGAAGACGGTCCCACGTCGCTTCTTTGGGCTGAGCCCGGCCAGACCCCGTGGGGAGAGGCCTGGCCACCAGGCGCTCGCATACGAGCCCCAACCCCGGGCCTGGCTCCAGGGTGGGGCCCCACGCCATACCGGGCGACGTCACGGTCCTTGGATATATTTCCGTCATAAGGGGTTTTTGAACAGCTCTTAGTCTGACCCGTCGCCTAGGACCTGTTTGCCTTGGGAGACACTACCAGGGGCATATAGCCCCAGACAACATAGCTCCTAGGGTCATTCGGGTACTCAAACCCCTCCATCACGTTAAGGTGGCAGTTCAAGGAGGGGCATGAGTTATGAGTTATGATTTTATCTAATAAACTCATTATGTGGAGGTGGAGCCATAGCAAACTGCTATACACAAGAAAAAAATGTGTTAAAAATATTAAATTTAGTAGTAGAAATCTATTAAATGTCCAGTTTTAGCTAAATGTGTATGTGTTCCTACTTAATCATATCTTAGGTGCACATTTGTGAACTATATATAAGAAACTTTGCAGATTAATGTTATTAATAACTGTGTTCTTTGACAGGTTTCTCTGTGTTACACATAATAATGCTGATTCTCTGTATCTCTGCATCTGGATCTGCACTTCTGCTCTTCTGTCTGATCTACTGTAGATCTACTACTGAAGGTACACATCTAACACACACATATTCTGATCTACTGCCAGTGGGAAATGAGTTTGAACCTAATAATAATAATAACAACATCATCATAATTAGAGTTTATTGAGTGTGTAAATCAAACTGATGATTTTTCTATGGGAATAGTTTCAGTTTAGAAAAAGTCAAGTCAAAAGTTTGTTAGTGTGACAGATTATCATTAGTTAGTAATATGTTGACATATACAACACAAGTTGAGATAAGACATACGTTATAAAACATTAAAGACATTTCTGATAGAAGCTGCGAAAGTATTGTTGATTATTACTATCTCTGTCCTAAATGTGATATTACTGATTAGTTAAGTTTCTATATTAGATTATATCAGTTGTTGAAGTGTTAATGTAGAACTACTCATTAGTCCTGCATTACTTCATAGTTATCTAATGATAACAGAGCATTATTCTCAGTGTCACTGAAACGTGTGTGGAGTTGTAACACAGTTCAGATGTTATATATAACACAACAGTGATCTGACATGTGATGCAGTTTTACTCCACAGCAGAAGAAGAAAAACTCTCAATTACTTTCAATGTGAACAAACATTAGTGTTTACACGTTTATGGTCATGTCTTTCTGAAAATATTGCAATAATCTGATTGGCCTCATATGAACCTGTATTTGTGTTATTAAATGTGTGACAGTGTGATTAAACGGGTTTATTCCTCAACATTTACCTTACATTTTAAATGAAACTGATTTTCTTTTTCAGGTTTGATTGTGCAGAACTCTTTTAACGTTGGTATTCTGGGAGATTATGTGGATATTCCCTGTCATGTTCCTCCAAACGTACTGACTGAAGATCTGAAGGTGGAATGGAGAAGAAAGAGAAGAAACTCCGAGACGTTAGTTCATCTGTATGAAGACGGAGCAGAGAAACAGCAGGAGGATTATAAAGATAGAGCTCATTTACTTCCTGAACACATTAAACATGGAAACTTCTCCCTCCGTCTGGACGATCTGAGAGCTGAAGATGAAGGAGAATACACATGTACAGTTCACAGCAAGAACAAGTGTGTGTTTTCAGCCAACACAAATCTGGTTCTGGGTAAGTACACGGATAAAAACAAATCAAACTCAACTCTTAATAGTTAATCAACAGTACAGCACTGAGTATTTTATATTCAGGAAATTTATTTGTATAATCAGAGCTATAGCCTAACTATATGATCAAGATTACATATTCATAAGCCTTAAATATTTGATCATGTGAATCTATCAGTGTACAGTAAATAGGATTATTGCACATACACTGCAATAATTAATCTTGGTAACACTTTATTTTAAGGTGTTTGTAATAAGCAGTAATTAACAGTTAATAAGACACTTATAAGACTTTATAAGATGCATATAAGCATTAACTACTTCATATGACTTCTGAGGACGCTTTGTTTCACTTTTCCCGCTCTACTCAATCGTGCCGCCGACGAGCCTCACGACATTTACAGCCAGGGGTGAGTGTAGACTCCACCCCCTGGGGTCCAGCTGGGTCATGACCTCTCCGGGGCCGCTCAGTTGCCTCTCCGGGTTCGTCTTGTGCTTTAATTAACCCTTATATGAAAGAGTTAATGCTTATATGCATCTTATAAGGTCTTTATTAAAGGGACACCAGCGACCCCTAGAGTAACTGTGGAGTACTTGTTTTTAACGTTACTGTCGTAAACACCACTCACGCATGATGTGTTGCATAGTATACAATAGTACATTGTGTTTAATTTGTCGTTTAATGAGATCTAATATATGTTGTTAGTGGTGAGAATTTTCACGTGATGAAATACATAGATCCAGAGGCAGAGCTTTTGCCACGTATGTCACAGGTTCTGGGTTCTAATCCTTACTAGTTTGTTTTCCTCATCAACACCGATTGTTTATTAGTGGCTGTATTTCAAGCAGGGACATGTTTTTTTGTGCATTGGGTTATGTGATTTCACCGTAATGAGTCTCTCAGTCCCCGCAACGGATTGAGCGCGCGTCCGTTTGAATATCACCACAGAACACTGAACCCACTGAAACTGCGCCAACGAGCACTTTGGTCACTTGATTTCAAAAACAACACATTTCAGATCGCCTCTTATTTAACAAACGAAATAAATGAACCTATATTTGCACTAAATATTTGCCGCCTTTAGTGCCTGTCTTTATAACAGAAACACGCCCGTCACTGAACAGCTGCAGTGGTGTAGATTGTAGAGCATGTAGTTCATGAAAGAGCTATGCGCTCGGACCCGAGTTCGAATCCGCCTTTTGCCGAACATATGAGATGTAAAATGTATAAACTAACATGAAGATCTATATTAAATATTGATCTATTGATATATATTGATATTAAACCAAATAAATTGATTAACAGCAAGTTGTGAATGATGGACTAGCGGTTATGCAAGTGTGGTGTGTCTTTTGTACATATATAATTGGATGGACCAGGATCAGACGTCAGTTCTTTCACTGCTAAACATAACCTTCTGTGATCAACCCATAATACACCCTCAATAAAGAGCCTTTTAATGCACATTTTCAGTTACTGAACAGCAGATGATCTTTTGTCCACTTCTTTACCCTTATTAATAATTTTTGCACATTAACACACGTTTCTATTCCTTTATAGAGTTCTTTATGGATAAAGTGTTTCCTCTGGGATCTTCAGTGGTTTTGCCCTGTCAGGTTGACAAAAGCTTGATAAAGGAAAGTCTGAGGGTGGAATGGAGAAGAACAAGAGGAACAGACTCAGACTCAGAAATAGACTCAGACTCAGAGGCTTTAGTTCTTGTGTATAAAGATGGAGCGAGTCGAGCTGAGGAACAGCACAAGGACTTTCACAAAAGAGCTCATTTCTCAGATAAGGAGATTAAAGATGGAAACTTCTCCCTCCGTCTGGAAAAGCTGAGAGCTGGAGATGAAGGAGTTTACACATGTACAGTTTACAGGGACGAGGAGAGTGTGTGTTCAACCGATACAGAGTTGTACCTGGGTAAGTGGAAAAAATAAAGAAACCGCTGCTGTTGTAGCCCTGATCAGTGTATGACTACGATTAAGCAATATAGTTACAATAGAAAGAGCATTTCAGATTTTTAATAACATTTGTTTGATGGATTTAAATGACAAATATAATTGTCTGGGCTGGTCAAATATTATTAATTATACATATTAATTTTGAATAAGGAGCATTTAAATCTGAGCATGTATTGATATCCTTTATCAGCTGGTTCTCGGTTTGTACAAGTGAATGTTTATATAAAATCTATTAGCAAATAATATAACAAAATATCAATGAGTGTGTTGAATTATGGTGGTTTTGAGCTGAGAAACACATCTCTACTCAGCAGAAACTGAACTCATGATTCCTCAATTATACACTGATGTGAGAACAGCCTTTAATGTTGCTTTAGCTTCTTCATGAATGATCCGACACAGAAAATCAGAAAATGTTTAGAGACTTGAATAGAAAGTATTACAACAGAAAATAAGTATTTTACATTTATAATTCAGAAAACACAGCAAATGAAACTGTGGATATCTAGTTTAATAAAGTGCCTTGAACAAACACTGATTATCTTTCAAAGATTTGATTAAATAACGAACTTTACATGAACCGAATCCAGAGAATATTTCTTCTTCATCAGCGCTTGATGGTGATTTTCTCAGACAGGTTGATTGTAAAACACGTGTGTGCTATACTGTTGTGTGTGTTTGAGGAGACGTTGTGTAACTGTGTGTGAATGATGATGATGTCAGTTCTCTCCTATTTTTTACAGTCTATGCTTCTCTCACTGGAAATATAAACTTCATAAACGTCTGTGACGGTTTATTAAACCTTTTATAAATGTTGGGCTTTTCAATGCATATTTATACACTGTAAATTCTAACAAGTTCAGTTTACTTAAAAAAAGTTTGGAAACTGATTGCCTTATTTTGCAAAGCAAACTTAAAAGGAAAACTGAAGTTAAGTTAATAATCGGCTAAAATTAAAGAAAGCTACATCTTCCCAAGTAAATGAAGTATAAATATCAAGTTAGCTTAATGTCAATTCTAGTTAACATACTAAATAATATTCTTACTTAAGATTTAATAGTAAGATTACTTGACTAATTCCATTTAACTAACAGTGTTATAATGTGTTCTGCAAACATTTTAAATGCTATTATTCTCAACAAGGTTTTAATCTGCCACTTTCAGCTATGGAGACTTAAAAAAAATATGTGCAATCGGTTTCCACATTTTCTTCAAGTAAAGTGAAATAGGAATAGTATGTTGAACTGACAAATGCTTAGTTAGTATAGTTCACTTACACAAGAGTTCTAGACACTAAAAAAAGAATTGTAGAGAGTACTTGATAATTTACTTTAAATACAATTTATTTGTTACCATTGATGTGTTTTGCATAATGAATGTTGAAGTCTGTGTAAATCAAGTATGATCAATTACAAGATTGTCACTTTTACATTTAACTTTTATATGGGATTATATAAACGCAATTAAAAGTTCCACAAGGAATTATTGTGAAATTAATATTGTGATAATTATTTGACATGAAATAGAGTTATACATCAATCATACACACACATTTATACATATACGTATACATATATAAGTGTATGCATATTGTCACGGGGTGAAGAAACACTCGACAAGGCTGGCTTCGTGAAAAGGCCCCAGAGGGTGGATTTATTTACAATCAAATAAAGTTGGTGAAAGAAGTTCAGCTGGCGTGTGGTGGCTGGTGCTTTAAGTGCTATTCCGTGCTCAATTCAAATGAAAGTAGGTTTCCAAAACGTGCTCCACAAAGGATGGGCTGTCGGTCACTCGCTGCTTTCTGGGGAGAATAGAGAGAAGGGTTAGACCAGCACTTCCATTCAGTTCGAGACTAGTGTCTGTCTGTTTGCTAAGCATGTGCTGCTTATGTGGCTGTGGGCTGATTGGGAGCAGCTGTGACCGATCAGCCAGCGATGAGGACGTGCAGGTGTTTTGTGTTGGTTGCCAGGGCGACGCTGCTTCCTCTGAGGGTGCTTGTCACAATATGTATGTATGTATGTATGTGTATATATATATATATATATATATATATATATATGAAGAGTTCAGATGCAAAAGCCTCTAAATGCCATTTGAAATTTTCTTCTAGAATGATCATTTTTATCAAACTTGTATATTTAAGTTCAGTAATTTCACTTAAATAACAATTAATAGGTAATTAAATAAAAAAAGTAAAGTAAATAAAAAACAACAACTAATCAATTAATCTTTACTTGGGTTTTCTGAGTGAACTAAGCATAGTGTGTGAATACATATTACTAGATTTTTACAATTAAGTTAAGACATTAAAATAAAGTAAAGTTAACTAAAAAGTCTTAGTAAGAACAACTGTTAGATTTTACAGTGTGTGTGTGTGTGTGTATATATATATATATTTATTTTATTTATTTTTTTTCCATTTATTTTTTTTCCATATTCAGAATTCACTGCGGAGCCCTGTTGTCACACACCTGTTCCTCTGGGATCTTCAGTGGTTCTGCCCTGTTATGATGATTATGATGATGTTGATGAACCTTTACTAATGGAGGATCTGGAGGTGGAGTGGAGAAAAACAGACTTAGATGATCCTGTTCATCTGTATGAAGATGGAGAGAGTCGACCAGAGGCACAGTCGCAGGATTATCAGGACAGAGCTCATTTCTTCACTGAGGAGATTAAACACAGAAACTTCTCCCTCCGGCTGGACCATCTGAGAGCTGAAGATGAAGGAGAATACTCATGTACAGTTCACAGTGGCTCACCTGAGAATCCCAGAACATTTACAACCGAGATAAAAGTGTTGCTGAAACTACTGGGTGAGTCCACAGAAAACAGCCACTCTTCTGTCCTCAATCGGTGTTCAGTTATTTATAATATATTAAGTTTGTGTTTGCCACTCAGTTTCATTCAGTTATAAATGTAATAACAGAAAGAACAGAGATGTGTGTCTTAAAACTGAATGACTGATAATCATCTTTATTTAATCTGTTTACAGTTTTCCTGATTTGCTAAAACACTAAACCTCATTCTCTGATCCAAATTCTCGATAGCCTGAACCAATTTATCAAATAAATCACTCTTTCTGTAAAACATTAAACAAGTTCAGGTGATTAAAACACGGTTTGCAGATCTCATGCACTCTGACATTCTCACTCTACAACACAGTTTACACACAACGACTCAGACATTCGATACTATTCAATATTCAGTGCAATACCAGACTTGTGGATACAGTAATTATTTTATTCACCTTATTACTGTATTGGCATTATACTTTTATCCGTAACATGCTCTGAAGTCTGTTTTCTGTTTTTTGATGTGTCTAATGAATGATCTGTAGTGTTCATAATTTTGACTCGTGTCGTGTGTGTGTGTGTGTGTGTGTGTGTGTGTGATCTTTGAGCACAGGTAAAATGGTCTTGAGTCAATAGTTTGATTTTGCCAGTATATAATTGATATATATATATATATATAATATATAATTGATATATATAATTGATTTTGTCAGTAGAGTCAGCGTTTCTGTGGATGTGTGTGAAAGTGTGTTTTTGTGTGTCAGGTTTTGAGAAAGTGAGTGATGGTTTCAGTAATTGAGAAAAACTGTAAGTGAACGTGTTATTGTGTGTTTCTCTCAGACTCAGTCTTTCGTCTTCAGATGTTCCTCGTCTTCTGTCCAAATATTCTGATGTGTCTCGCTTTCGTCCTCTGGGGGTTATCTGAAGGTCAGTGATTCAGGACTGAGAGTTAACAATCAATAACTCATATCTGTGTGTGTGTGTGTGTGTGTGTGTGTGTGTGTGTGTGTGTGTGTGTGTGTGTGTGTGTGTGTGTGTGTGTGTGTGTGTGTGTGTGTGTGTGTGTGTGTGCGTGCGTGCGTGTGCGTGTGTGTGTGTGTTTCAGGATCAGTGTTTGAGTCTGTGTGTTGTTAGTAATGTGTGTGTGTGTGTGTGTGTGTGTGTGTTTCAGGATCAGTGTTTGAGTCGGTCTGTTGTTAGTATTGTGTGTGTGTGTGTGCGTGTGTGTGTGTGTGTGTGTTTCAGGATCAGTGTTTGAGTCGGTCTGTTGTTAGTAATGTGTGTGTGTGTGTGTGTTTCAGGATCAGTGTTTGAGTCGGTCTGTTGTTAGTAATGTGTGTGTGTGTGTGCGTGTGTGTGTGTGTGTGTTTCAGGATCAGTGTTTGAGTCGGTCTGTTGTTAGTAATGTGTGTGTGTGTGTGTGTTTCAGGATCAGTGTTTGAGTCGGTCTGTTGTTAGTAATGTGTGTGTGTGTGTGTGTGTGTTTCAGGATCAGTGTTTGAGTCGGTCTGTTGTTAGTAATGTGTGTGTGTGTGTGTGCGTGTGTGTGTGTGTGTGTGTGTGTGTTTCAGGATCAGTGTTTGAGTCGGTCTGTTGTTAGTAATGTGTGTGTGTGTGTGCGTGTGTGTGTGTGTGTGTGTTTCAGGATCAGTGTTTGAGTCGGTCTGTTGTTCTGCTCTGTATCTCCTGAGGCCGCTCGTGTTGCTCTGGACGGCTCCGTATATCAATAACTTCACAGGTGTGGCTGATTTATTATATTTATAGATTCATACAGTATATCAATTATGATGCACACATTGTTTTCACATAAACTGACAGCAATTTTACATTAAATTCAATGTTAAACTTGTGTTTCACTGTGTTGCTGTTGTAAATGATATAGTGGATGTGATTATTTCATCTGTTTTACAGGCAACATTAAAACATGGATTGAAGTTTTCAGTTATGATACAGAATATACAGTTTTCTCAGCTGTGTTTTACTCAGGTAAATAAATCCAAATGTAAATCCACAATCATTATCATAAACACATTAACAGTTGAACAATAATTACATGTAAATGATGTAATATTCTCAATATCCTGCCGGAAATCTTAAACCCATGACATGAATACTGTGAAGTGTGTTGTGTTACTGTAAGATATTCTACACTACACCGCCGCTTAATTATGGAAATATTGCATGAATTATCACAGTAGACATCATGTAGAGACTGAGACTGAAGATAAAGTTACTTCTGATTCACATCTCAGCATGTGTCAGGGTCATCATCAGCACAAAGGTCAAGGGTCACGATCAGACAGAGAATGTGTTGTAATGTTGTGTATAAAAGCATCTGTTCAATGAGAAGTGTTTTATAATATATATTTATATGTTACTTTTCTATTTCAGTAATTGTTGTTTCTCTTCCTTTATTCCAGTGTTGTTTAAATCTGCGTATGACAGAAGTCTGAGCTACACTGGATCTGAAGGAGTCATGATTATAGTCCTGTTTGTGATTGCGCTCCTGCTAAACCTCTTCTATATTACCTACTGTAAGTGTTTCTTCCATCATGAGTCAGTCACAATATGAGCTGTCAATCATATTTACCAGATTACTGGAGTCAGGGTTACAGAATACACAAATCATCATCACACCTGATTTATCAGCTCATTCCATATCATTAGACAGATCAGAGTTTTACCATATCATTCATTACACATATCAGAGTTTTACACGAGAAACTGATGGAAGAATAGAAGAAAAACAGAAAGTAAAATAAATCAAAGTGTACATTTGTAAATGTATGAAATGAGTAAAAGAGAAACTCCCGGTGATTAAAGGATGTAAACTGAGTGAATCAGCTCATAAAGTCTTCAGTTTATTCAGTCTCAGATCATCGAGTGATTTAAAACAGGACAGATTCTCCAGCTATACACCGCATACTCAATTATTCATATTAGCACACTGTATATCAACATTAATATACATATTAATATACACATGTGTCATTATGCAGGCGTGTGTGTGTTTCTGGCGTGTGTTATCGCTCTCCCTCACACACACTCTCAGCACTTTCATTATTATTATCTTCTGCACACACTCTCTTATTGAAGGGTTTTCTGAGGCGTTCGATCCCTCTTGACATTGATCCACTGATTCACTGATTCACTGATTCTCTCATTCATTTATTCACTGATTCACTGATTCACTGATTCTCTGATTCTCTCATTCATTTATTCACTGATTCTCTGATTCACTGATTCTCTGATTCTCTCATTCATTTATTCACTGATTCTCTGATTCACTGATTCTCTGATTCTCTCATTCATTTATTCACTGATTCTCTGATTCACTGATTCTCTGATTCATTGATTCACTGATTCTCTGATTCACTGATTCTCTGATTCATTGATTCACTGATTCTCTGATTCTCTCATTGATTTATTCACTGATTCTCTGATTCACTGATTCTCTGATTCATTGATTCACTGATTCTCTGATTCTATGAATCACTGATTATCTGATTCATTGAGTCTCTGATTCACTGAGTCTCTGATTCACTGAGTCACTGAGTCTCTGATTCACTGAGTCTCTGATTCATTGATTCTCTGATTCTATGAATCACTGATTCTCTGATTCATTGATTCACTGATTCTCTGATCCACTGATTCTATGATTCTCTGATTCACTGATTCTCTGATTCACATATTCTCTCATTCATTTATTCACTGATTCTCTGATTCATTGATTCACTGATTCTCTGATTCATTGATTCACTGATTCTCTGATTCACTGATTCTCTCATTCATTTATTCACTGATTCTCTCTGATTCACTGATTCTCTGATTCATTAATTCACTGATTCTATGAATCACTGATTATCTGATTTATTGATTCATTGAGTCTCTGATTCACTGAATCACTGAGTCTCTGATTCATTGATTCTCTGATTCTATGAATCACTGATTCTCTGATTCATTGATTCACTGAATCTCTGATTCACTGAATCTCTCATTCATTTATTCACTGATTCTCTGATTCACAGATTCTCTGATTCATTGATTCATTAATTCTCTGATTCTATGAATCACTGAATTATCTTATTCATTGATTCATTGAGTCTCTGATTCACTGAGTCTCTGATTCTCTTAGTCACCGAGTCTCTGATTGTCTGATTCACTGATTCTGTGATTCATTGATTCTCTGATTCTATGAATAACTGATTCTCTGATTCATTGATTCACTGAGTCTCTGATTCACTGATTCTATGAATTGCTGATTCTCTGATTCATTGATTCTCTGATTCTCTGACACACACACTCCTGTCCCACCCACTGGCAAAACAAAGATAAGCCACTGTATATTAATTGAGTTAATGTAGCAGCCCAAGTTCGTATCAGGCGTCATCACATCGCGGTCTGCAGAGCGAAGTCAGAATCGCGGATCGAGTGAGAGCGAGTGTTCATGCCAGACCAACGTCTAGATGTTAAAACACAGCAGTTCGCCAGCCGCCATCTTTGTTTTCAAGCAGCAGTGCACTGAAACTCCGCCTCAATGGCCATGGCCTTGAATTTCCTGCATCAAACTATGGTTTCTAGGAGCAAACTATGGCAAAATTAATATGAGTATTCCTGAATTATTTTTGTTTCAAAAATGTATATTTGGAATAAAATAAATGCAATTAATAATGTGGTGAATAATCAAAGCTCTTGGAATTAATAAATGTAATGTGAACATTTCCTTTGGTGTGTGTCTACCCTGAGCACACGTCTCTGCTTCCAGACCATGATAAATAATGGAAATAAATCATATAATTCAATCCTGTATTATTATATATAGTGTCAGATCTGAAATATAGACATCCTCAGTTCAGGCGTTCATAGAGAAACACACACACGTTATATTCATATTTCACTGCACACACACACATTACACAATGTTCTGGTTATGAAGGTGATTATGATGATTGTTGTTGTTTATTATTGTCATATTCATATAAAGCAATTACTCAGTTTACATTCGATATCAATAAAAACACATGATCCACTTCTCTCAGATTAGATTATTATTGATCATTCATATATTTATTTTTTATGGAATCAAATACTGATAAAATACTGATGAAATTAATAATCACAACTCAATTCAACATTATAATAACTATTAATATTGTTTCATTCTGTCTTAAAATGAGGATATCTGCGATATCTCAACAAAAGCATAAACCATCATCATAACCCATAAATACAGGAGTAAACTCACTTCACTAACTCACAATCTTCACACAATCATTCATCATTTCCCTCTTCAAAACTATAAACTTATGAATATCACACTGGAAAACTCTTAAACACACATGAATAACTCATTTTACTGTATCAAACACACACTATAATACACACATTCAAAGCATTATGAAGACATTATGAAACATGTTGTCAATAATAAATGTGTGAAGAGTGCATTAATTCTGCATCAGTTGTATGAGTTATGAACTGTAGTTTATCTTTCACAGCGTTGCTCAGATTAACTGTGACGCTGAGCGAGCGGATCAAGACTATATTCAACGTTCTGGCTGGTATAAGCTTTGATGTTCTTCCTGCACTGCAGTTCATCCTCCTGATCTTCAGCTTCGGGTCGAGAACAGGTCAGATTACACTCATGATCAACTCTATACACTCTATAAACTCTATTCACTCTATTCATGTCAACTCTATACACTCTATAAACTCTATTAATAAACTCTATAAACTCTATTCATGATCAACTCTATACACTCTATAAACTCTATTAACTCTATTCATGATCAACTCTATACACTCTATAAACTCTTAATAAACTCTATAAACTCTATTCATGATCAACTCTATACACTCTATAAACTCTATAAACTCTATTCATGTCAACTCTATACACTCTATAAACTCTATTAATAAACTCTATAAACTCTATTCATGATCAACTCTATACACTCTATAAACTCTATTAACTCTATTCATGATCAACTCTATACACTCTATAAACTCTATTAATAAACTCTATAAACTCTATTCATGATCAACTCTATACACTCTATAAACTCTATTAACTCTATTCATGACAACTCTATTAACTCTATTATAAACTCTATAAACTCTATTCATGCTCAACTCTATACACTCTATTCATGCTTAACTCTATAAACTCTATTAATAAACTCTATTCATGCTCAACTCTATAAACTCTATTAATAAACTCTATTCATGCTCAACTCTATTTACTCTATTCATGTCAACTCTATTAACTCTTTTATAAACTCTATAAACTCTTTTAATAAACTTTGTTAACTATATTCATGTAAACTCTATAAACATGATTGATTATTAATTGACGTGATTAACAACAGATTTCATTACAGAATGACATTTATTGAGGAAATTACAAGTGATTGTAAAATAATATGAAAGTGTTAATAATAATAATTCATAATAATTTATCATTTATAATAATTCAAAGCAATCTCTGAAAATATTTAAAATAATAATTAATAAAAATAACATCCGTCATGTTGTGACAGACGAACACACACTCTTCCGTTGTGTTTCTCTCTCACACACACACACACACACTCTTCCTCCAAGTTGAACACACGCATACACACACACGCACACACACACACACACACTCTTCCTCCATGTTGAACACACGCATACACACACACACACACACACACTCTTCCTCCATGTTGAACACACACACACACACACACACACACTCTTCCTCCATGTTGAAAGCACACACACACACAGTCGCTGATAAATGGTAAATGGTAAACGGACTGCATTTATATAGCGCCTTCATAGACCTAATGGCCACCAAAGCGCTTTACATTTGCCTCACATTCACCCATTCATTCATACACCGACGGCGGTGTCAGCCATGCAAGGCGCCATCCAGCTCGTCAGGAGCAGCTGGGGTTTGGTGTCTTGCTCATGGACACCTCGACACTTGGTCAGGTGGAACCAACCTTTCGGTTCGTAGACAACCCACATGAACCACTGAGCCACTGCCGCCCCTACCGATACTGCCGATAACACACACTTGTATGCCTGGCTCACACTACAGGAGTGGTTAAATCATAACCGATTGTGTGTGTGATCGATTAAACATGTAAGGATATTGTAATGGCGTCAGCTCTGATCTGGGAACAGTTTCATGACTCACTCAAAGGCAGACTCTCACCGCCATCTAGTGTCCAAACTGAGTAACTGCACTAGTCTTCCACCTGCTGACAACAGCAACAATTATTTATTTAGCAATAATTAAACAACACATTTAATAACATAATCAATAAACATAATAACAACACATTTAACAGCACAACACATGTAATTGTGTGCTATATTGTCTTCTGTGTGCAGGATTCCTCATTGTTGCAGTGTTGCCGGTGTTGACTACAGTGACGAGATATAACTGGGACGTTACATGTGGTCAAGACATGGGCTGTGAGTGTTTTCTGAATTATGATCCTATCACTCATATAAACACAAATAACATCATAATGTGATCAATCTATAATCCATAAACGCTTGTGTCATTATGAATGTCGTATTTTGGATTTATAGTTTTTCTCGATTGTTTACACACATTTTCTGGTACTTGAGACACAATGAGCACAACATGAAACTCATTCACCAACTGCCTGAACCAGTTCTGATGAACTACAAGCACAATTCCTGCTTTACACTCTAAAACACACTTTTTTCTGAAAAACTGTAAGTGTCAAACACAGTTATTAAACTCATATTACAGTTTTTTTTTTTCCAATTGCTAACACACAATTTTGCAAACTAGTCTGGTTTTATCAAAATGCTTAACACAATTCACAAAACCACACACCCAAACTGCAAAATACCTCATATATCCTGCAAAATGAAGCACTGCAACCGAAACTACACACGGCATTATCAAAATCAAACTTTTGCATGAACTGGCACACACTTCAGTCATATGACCAGATTTGTGCCTAAACAGCTACACACTGTTGGGCATCATGAAAAGCACTCCTATCTTTAGTATGCTTTGCCATAATACTAAAATATGTATCAGATTGTTCACATGCACAGAGATATTTGCAGACACACACATGCTGTTGAAACTTCATTTTACAGTAATGTATTTTTCACTACAGTAAACAAGTCAGTGTAACGTATACACAGCAGAAATATTTACATAAAATTACTTACAAAAAACAGTAAACTGAAAAAGAAACTTCCAGAAAATATATTACAGTAAAAAAAAGTGGAAAAATAAAAATAATTGTTTATAGTTTTATAGTTTTTAGTCCTGATTGAAGTGTTAACAATTAACCATTGAGGTGTTTGGCCAGATGGCACATGTAATTGGCCAATTAGCTCATGTGTCGTTTTGAATGGTAGTGTTTAGAAATGGCAAACATGTGACTTTATGTCAGATTATCGTGTCTTATTCAGAGAACTGTGTTCAGTGCATTTAAAAAGGGGCATTTTGAAATGCAAAATGTGTGTAAAGCAGAAAATGTTTAGACTTTAGGAAACTTGAGAAGAAGTTTTGCTCTCTGTGTGTCCGTTTAATTGTGCTGTGCATGTCATTTTAGTGTGTTAGCAATTAGAAAAAACTGTAATCCTGTTTTTCAGGTTTATTTGTTCAAACACAGTTATTAAACTCTTATTAATCGTGTGTTTCAGGTTTACGTTCGGTCAGGAGATCAGTGTATGTGATCTTCATGTTAGTGGTCAATGCTGGACTGGTGTATTTCTACAACACAGCTCTGAAAAATGAGAAGGGTACGATTATATATGATTATATATGATGATTATATATATGTGTGATTATATATGTGTGTGATTATATGATTATGTACATGTATAAATCTGAAACATCTTCCTGCTGTATAATGCTGATGTGTGTGTGTGTGTGTGTGTGTGTGTGTGTGTGTGTGTGTGTGTGTGTGTGTGTGTGTGTGTGTGTGTGTGTGTGTGTGTGTGTGTGTGTGTGTGTGTGTGTGTGTGTGTGTGTGTGTGTGTTGATGAACTGTTAGTGATGAAGCTGATGTGTGTGTGTTGATGTTCAGATCGTGTCGGATGGGTGTGTGTGATCGTGTTTCTTCAGTCACTCTGGACAGTGAATAACTTCACATACTCATTTACATGGGGTCAGTATTAATATTCATCTTCATCTCTGATCATCTTCATCTCTCTCGTTTATTCTCCTCTTCTGTTCTTCTCTTCCAGAAGAATATTTGTATATAATGTTTATTCATGAAACTATTATTATCTCTAATGGTGAAGATATGAAACTGTATTATTATCTGAAGATATGAAAGTGTATTATTATCTGAAGATATGAAACTGTATTATTATCTGAAGATATGAAACTGTATTATTATCTGAAGATATGAAAGTGTATTATTATCTGAAGATATGAAACTGTATTATTATCTGAAGATATGAAACTATATTATTATCTGAAGATATGAAAGTGTATTATTATCTGAAGATATGAAACTATATTATTATCTGAAGATATGAAAGTGTATTATTATCTGAAGATATGAAACTGTATTATTATCTGAAGATATGAAACTGTATTATTATCTGAAGATATGAAACTATATTATTATCTGAAGATATGAAAGTGTATTATTGTGTGTTCCAGCTCTTCTCCGTGTGGTTCAGGTGTATGTGTTTGGATCAGTCGGTGTAGTTTTCCTGAACGCTGTTGCTCTGATGACTGAACTGATCCTGAGAACAGGCGAGAACACTTCAACATCACTTATATAATAATAATATCTGAGTAAAACACACACACATTATACTGTTCTTCTCATCCTCAGTTAATGGAGTAGGAGCCGTTGGAGATATGAGGATCGTCGTGTTTTCCTCTGAAATCCTCTTCACTTTATTTCTCATGATTTTAATGATATTTGAACCCTGTGAGTATAAACTCAACTTAAAGACAATTACAGTAACACATTCACGGCAGGGGTTTCAGTGCCTCTCGTATTTCTTTAAGGGATTATCATTATAAAACATATGTGTCCGAGAGTAATAAATGCTGAGTTTGCGATGATTGATGAGTCTATCTTGATTAGATATTTCTTGGTTAAATCAGGACTCGTGTATTATAGAGTGTGAAGTGTTGAATCTGAATAATCCTGTAAATCTCTTTTCCTCCTCCGTCTCACAGGGATCAAACCGTGTCTACAGTCATGTCAGGTTAGTGTTTCATATTTAATGTGAATTATATCTGATTATTTCACCTGCGGTTTGACTTCATGTTAAAGGTGCGGCCATTTTATATTCATGTTTCTCTGGTGTGTGTGAGACTGAACTCTTTATACAGACACAAATAAAACTGATCCATCATTTAAATGACTGACTGTACCTTTAAATAACTGTGTAAAAACAGAAAAACATTAGTGTAGATCTGTGTATATTAATACATTAGTGAAGATCATTAAGATGTGTGTGTTAATGAAGTGTCTTGTCTTGAACACAGAAGGCAATGAAGTCTCGTCGATCTCAGATCCAGAACCAGAACCAGGACCAGAACCAGGACCAAATCCAGAACCAGGACCAGATCCAGAACCAGGACCAGGACCAGAACCAGGACCAAATCCAGGACCAGATCCAGAACCAGGACCAGAACCAGATTCAGAACCAAGACCAGATCCAGAACCAAGACCAGATCCAGAATCAAAACCAAAACCAGAACCAGGACCAGGACCAGAACCCAGCAGGATCTCATTAGATGAATCCTCTACTGAAGGAAGTGTTGTCACAGCCATAATCATCAGTCCGAGAGAAACACTCCTGAGAAACTTCTGACTGTGATTTAACCCTCAGGTGCTCTTCGTTTCAGAGTCACACTTGTTATCTTCCCGGTCAAAAGTGACCGGACACCTAAAAATGAAACCTTCTCCATCCCAGTAAAACCAATGCAATTTATTTTTGTTCTATAATATTTATTCTTTTTAATTTAGTATTTTGAGACAATTTAATTGAATTTATTAATATTTATGCAATATTTATGGCTTATTTTTGCCATGGAAAAATATATATATATTTTCTATATAAATATTATTATTTTTTTCAAAAAATTAATGCAGTATTTTAGTTTAATATAGAATCTAGGCCTTCAGAAAAAAAATATTTTTTGAAGAAAATTAGCACCATCTGGTTACACTACAGTATAGAGAAAAAGTGTAGAATCATGGTGTAACCACTAGATGGCGTGTACAGCTCTCTATGGAGAGGCATGTGAATTCCCCAGATGTTTATCAACACATTTTTTTCTTGTTGGTGGTGGATTTGAATATATAGCTGAAACAATCTCAAAAACTATTTCTTATAGAAAAAAAAAATGACAAAAAACAAATATTCACAATTTTTTGACAATTTCCCATTCATTTCCTATGGGGGTCATTTTTGACCAAAGACCACAAGTGTGACTATTTTTTTAAGACCACTTAGCATGCTCAGATTATGACCTCAATTTTTTTGTGTGTTCACATACATAATGTCATAAAATTCACCAAGTTTCGTAATTTTCTGAAGAAGCTGTGATTTTTAAAAATTCAAAACAGAACATTTTTCGGTCAGAAATGACCGAAGAGCACCTGAGGGTTAAGCAGCCCGATCTCAAGAAAGTGTGTGTCTATACAATGAATGTTATTTCTTGTGCCATTTATACGCCAAAAATAGTTTTTGGGTCTATATGATACACACTTTATGGCGTTTAATACACACACACTCCCCAAACCTACCCAAGGGGTTTTCAGTGCCCAAAAAAAAAACGTTTTTGGTCTATAAATGGCAGCAGAAACGGCATTCGTGGTTTAGATACACACTTTCATGAGACTGTGTTGGATTTAAGAGCTCAATCTCATTCTGCATTCGTTATCGAGACCGTTTTTACTAATGGACGTTTCTTTGGTTTGGTGAATAGCTGTAAATATATGCAGGATGTTTAACACTTGTTCTGTGTGTTCATGTAATAGTGATTTGCTTTTATAACTAGTTCTAGGTGTAAACTTCAACATTACAGATGAATCTTGATCTTAAACACTATTAAGATCATTAGCAGAGAGGGAAATCAGTGTTATATTTAACTTTGAGTCTCAGGATCATGAAGTCAGTAAATGTTCAGTCGTGTCTCTTCCTCCATCAGAAACACTGAGACTGAATGTTCAATCCTTCAGACGGCAGATCAGATCCTTCATGTGATATCAAAACTCCTCTGAGATGTTGTTATCTTCATTCCTCTTGCTAGAAAACATCTGTAATTCATTGCTAATGAAGTTTCCAGGCATGAGTGAGTCCAAACACAGAAACTACAAGCTCATGATCAGCCGTTCTCCTCTATTATAGTGTCCGACAGATTTATGCATCAGCAATTACAATGAGGAGAAATGATATCTGTATTATTATTATTTCACTCTAAGGCTAAAATCATGTAAGACAATCACTTTTTAAATGAATAAAATGTAAGATGGTGTCATTTTTAACATCGATAATGAGAGATCGAAATGTTCTGTTTTGTACTTGTTTTGTAAAATAAACGTTTTGTTTTTCTCTGCAAAAGAGAAATATCTCTGAAACTATCATGTCATTTTGATGTGTATGTGTATGTGTAATGTGCTTTTGACATCACACATTTTGTAATTGTTTTTTTAAGTATATTAAAAATGATTTGTTTCATTTTGAATATGTTATTGTGTTATTTTGGAAAAAGAAACATTCAAAAGGGTTTTATTTTAATGTGATTTCTTTTTAAAAACGAGAAGTGTGCGATGCTACTCCTGACCATTAGGGGCAGAGTCGAGCGATGGGTGTTAAAGGACTAGTTCACTTTAAAAAGGTCTTTGGGACCTGAATCGTTTGGACCCCATAGAAGTCCATTATAAGGAGAAAATCCTGGAATGTTTTCATCAAAAACCTTCATTTCTTTTCGACTGAAGAAATAAAGACATGGACATCTTGGATGATATTTGGGTGAGTAAATTATCAGCAAAAGTTTTTTCAAAAGTGAACTAGCCTACTCTTTTAAGCTGTGCGAGTCGTGAGTTTTTCATTACTCCAGAGAGCTTGAACTTACTGCGTCTCAATTCGCATACTAGAGTAAATAGTATTCGCAAATAGAATTAGTACGTCCCAAGGTCCCAAACCGTAGTATGTTGAAATGAGTGATCCAAAAAGACCCGGATGGTCTGCTATATCCGGTCAGAATCCGAAGTGTAGATCGATGCACACGCTAACGGCTGATATTATCCACAATCCATCGCACGCTGGACGAGGATTCGGATAGAACTACAAACACGAGTAAAGTGTTAAAAAAACTACAGACACGGAGGACGCGCGAGTCCGGTGGTTATGAAGGTCAGAGAACGTCTAATAAGGGGAGAATTGGCACTGTGTGGTACTTCTCTGTCCATGAGGGGGCGCTCACAGGCGAGTGCAGAGTGAATGGGAGTCTGCTTAATTAAATCGGCTTGTTTAAATAAATTGGATTTAAATAATTTTAAATTTATCTCAAAATGATGGATGACATTTTAATAATATGGAAATGAGCAGAAGTTAATGCAGAGACTAATTCATATGAGGTAAATAAAGCTGCTTGGTTTATATTTTTGTAATTGTAGGCCTAATATCCAACATTTTAATATTATATTGCTGTAATGGCCCAATGTTTACGTGTTCACTATATTTCTTTGCCTCGGATTCATAAGCTAAAACATGCCTTTTAAATGTTTTTTCGTGCTGAACTGCTTTTCCTTTTTTTATTTTAAATATTCAGAAATGTGTTAGATATGGCATGAAATATCTGATATTCCTTTTGTCAAATGGTAAATGGACTGCATTTATATAGCGCTTTAACAGACCCAAAACAGAACAAATAAATGCAAGTTGTGGGAGTGTTTTGTTGTTTAAACACCTTTATAACGATCGCGTTAGTTGAGCTGTATGGGCGCCGCCATGTTAGTTTGTGCCACTGTTCAGAAAAGCGGATCTGTTGGATTTACAACACAAGAATTCATCCACTTCTCCCGAAATATATGAAAGTAAGTGGCTGGTGAACTGGTAGAATAGAGAAAACTTTAAAGTTAATTACACAATGTGTATATCTGATATAAATAAAACATATTATGTCTAATTATAATGGAAATTATTATTATTGCTACTTGTATTTTACAAATTCTAAATGTGCTGTTTTGATAGTTGTTGTGTATTTAAATTTCTGAAACCTTAAATGAACATTAAATAGTTGAAAACACTGAATAGTTATGATATATGACATCACTGAGTGTGTCCGTCTCGGGCTCAGCTTAGCCAACGCGCGGAAGCACGTTTGAATTTAGCCATTGATCACGTGATGCACTGACCGTTCCACTAACACCGGTGTGATCGTACGCTCGAGGGACCAGCCATGACTGATCACATTATAGAGAGATACCGCTATATGCTAACTATGCTAACAATACTGTCATGCTAACAATACTGGTCGTCTGACGAGCCCGATAACCAGTACAATGAGCGCTGCCTTGAGCTAAAATATAGTAAGTGCTTTGAATGTTCATTAACATACATTGAAATAAACATTATTTCATTGAGTATAATATACGTATACGCTTCTTTACGTATGTACTGTAAAGAAGCCGTTCGTGTGTGTGAGATGAACCAGCAAACGTCAATAGAAACAAGCTACTTTAACTCATTACTTTGCTTTAGAAATGTTCAATGGAAGTAATAAATGTGTTTGAAAGAAGGCTAATTTTGTTTCTTTGATAGTTTTTTTGTGAATGATAATTAAAAAAAAATATAATAATAAACATTTTTTATAATTTGGGTATCGCTCTACAGTCTATCTCTTTTCTTAACACAAGTTAGAATAAGTAATAAGGCATCCTAAAATGACCACCAACCGTAAATATATATATGAAGAGTTCAGATGCAAAAGCCTCTAAATGCCATTTGAAATTTTCTTCTAAAATGACCATTTTTATCAAGCTTGTATATTTAAGTTCAGTAATTTCACTTAAATTGCAATGAAGATTACCTATTAATTGTTATTTAAGTGAAATTACTGAATTTAAAAATACAAGCTTGATAAAAATGGTCATTTTAGAAGAAAATTTCAAATGGCATTTAGAGGCTTTTGCATCTGAACTCTTCAATATATGTATAATGTTTGAAGGGGTGGTATAATGCCCTTCTCACAAGATGTAAAGTTAATCTCAGATGTCCCCAGAGTGTGTATGTGAAGTTTTAGCTCTAAACACCCCACAGATATTTTTATATACCATGTTAAAGTTGTCACTTTTTGAGGGTTAGCAAAAACGCACCGTTTTGTGTCTGGCCCTTTAAATGCAAATGAGCTGCAGCTCCAGACACAGTGGGCGGAGCTTCAAGAGTGTGTGTGTTAGCAGTCCCAAATCATAATCATCCACCATTTTTTAGCTCTTCATGTTTATTTATTTGCTCTTTGCTGACCTGTGGCATTGCTATGATCTGCTTGTGGCCCAGATCTGGCAAACAGGAGCGGCTATTTAAGAATTTCTGCTTCAAAAAAATCACGTTTAATTAGCTGTTTATTTTTTAATTATTTATGAAATGTACTAGTAATTAGTCATTTTGAAATGGAAAAAATATTTCAAAGTAATTTATACACATTGTTTCAGGTAGGGGTGTGCGATATGACGATTTTTAATCGTGGACGATTAAAATGTCTGCATGATCTGCTTTTGAAGAAAT